TATTTAAGCGATAGACAGCAAAGTGTTAAAAACTCAAGCAGGAAACTTTTCAGAGTGGCGTTCTAATAGTGTAGGAGTTCCTCAAGGATCCACATTGTCAGCTATACTTTTTTCCACTTTATATTAATAAAATTGGTAGTTCTCTTATTTTTTGTAATTACATGATCTACGCAGAAGATATGTAGGCCTAACTTTATATAGATTGTAATATTAATTCCGTTGATGATGCAGTACGTTCAATGAATGCAGATCTGACAACATTACATCAATGGTGCACAAGTCATGGACTGCAACTTAATATATCTAAGCTTAAGCCTATATTGTTTGAGTCATCACATATGTTACCTCTAGTACAAGCAAATAACTTGACACCTTTGCTAATAAATAATGTTCAATTAAATTTAGAAACAAACATTGTTAATCTAGGTTTAAGGATGTGAAATGATTTATCGTGGTGTATACAAGTTGATTCTGTTTATAGAAAGGTATTTCAATGTTTATATAAGTTTAAAAGATTGTGTTTTAATCTGCCTACACATATAAAGAAACTGATGGTGACATCTTTAATTTACCAATATTTGATTATGCAAATGTAGCCTATTGCAAACTTAATAATGAATTAACAAATAAGTTACAAAAGGCACTGTTGAGTGCAATTTAATATTTGCCATATGTCTGTTTTTAATGTTATACTTCAATGATGAATACCAGATGGTTAAATTGTTAAATGTGTTGTTAAAAACAATAATAGTCTAATCTATGTCTTCTTTAGTTGGTTCAATTAAAAGTGTTGAGTTTAATAATTCAGTTTGCCCTTTTATTTTAATGAGCTAGGTATTTTAATTTAGTGTCCAGGGAAACCACATATTTACAGGTTATGGGCCCAGGGCTGTTTAAATACGGAATTTGTTAATATTTTTTTTACCTGGCTAATCAAATTTAATTAATATGGCAACTGAACATGAAAAGTATCGAATACCATTGTTTGATGGAACCAATTTCAGCAATTGGAAATTTAGAATTGAAACTCTGCTGGAGGAATTAGAATTATTGTCTTTCTTTCGTAAAGGAATCTTATGTTACCAAAGTTGAATTACTGGAAGAAGACACAGATGAACAACGAGAGAGGAATGAAGCAAGGGTGGTGGAATTAGCAAAACACGATCGGAAGTGCAATTCACAGATTATACAACGTATTGCTGACAGCCATTTGGAATATGCAAAAGACATGGCAACTATGAACTATGGCAATCTCTCTGCAACACATTTGAAAGGAAAGGTATTGCTAACCAACTTCTACTAAGGAAGCAGTTACTAACAATGAAGTTTGATGCGAAGAATGACGTTTTAAATAGTCACTTTCTGAAATTTGACAAAGTGATAAGAGAGTTACGTTCTACAGGAGCAACTGTCGAGGAATCTGACATTGTTTGTCATCTACTACTGACCATGCCCAAAGAATATGACGCCGTTGTCACGGCCATAGAGACTCTATCAATGAAGGACTTATCTCTAAGCTTTGTGAAGGTCAGACTGCTGGAAGAGGAGACAAAGAGGAGGGACGTTGGAAAAATTGAATTTGATTGTACATCACACCCTACTGCCTTCCAGTCTCAACAAGGGAAAAAGAAATATTTTCCAGGAAATCAAGGAACTTCTTGCAACTCGTTCAATTTCACTTGTCACAGATGCGGAAAGCTTGGACACAAACGAGCTAACTGCAGAGTCAAATTACCACTGAACCCAGCAAAGAAAAATAATTCTGCGAACGTGGTCGACACCAAACAGGAAGATGCATTTTGTTTTGGAACATCAAGTGAAGACTGTTCAGCAGATACCATAAATTGGATATTAGACTCTGGAGCAACAGAACATCTGGTTAACAGCAATGAGGTATGTCTCTCTAACTTTAAGAAATTAGAACAACCTATTAAAATCAAAGTAGCCAAGTCTGGAACTTATCTTGAAGCAAAATGGAAAGGGGAATTGTATGTCACTAGTGTTGTGGAAGGGAAGGAAATTAAAATAACAATCAAAGATGTTTTATCTGTACCTGGAATTAGTTACAATTTACTTTCAGTAAGAAAATTGGAAATGAATGGTTTTTGTGTTATCTTTCAAAATTCATTTGGCTTGATTAAGAAAGATAATCAAACTTTTGCGGTTGCAAAAAGAAACAATTCTCAGTTATATATGTTAAATTTTTTGCAACACAAAGCTTTGTCAGCGTCTTCAACTGAAACAGAAATGAAGCTGTGGCATGACAGGCTTGGTCATTTGAGCTATAGTTGTATTAAAAGTCTCAGGTCACAGGTAGATGGGATGGAGTTAAATACTTCAACATTACCCATAGAAAAGTGTTCAAAGTGTGTTGAAGGGAAACAATCACAATCTCCTTACAATCAGAACAGGAGACGTGCCACCAGACCTCTTGAGTTGATTTACAGTGATTTGTGTGGTCCAATCTCACCAGTTTCATTTGACGGTAAGAAATATATCATCACTTTTATTGACGACTTTACTCATTTCACGGTGGCCTATGCTCTAGAATCGAAGACGGAAGTCACAAGATATGTCAAGATGTATCATGCTTTGGCTACATCTCATTTCAATCTAAAGATTAGCAGATTTCGTTGTGACAATGGTCGTGAATACATGTCAAATGAGTTGAGGCAGTTTTTTGAGGAGCAAGGAATTCAGTATGAGTTCACAATGATATATACTCCTCAACAGAACGGTGTCTCAGAACGAATGAACAGGACTATTGTTGAAAGGGCTCGTTGTTTAATACTTAATTGTGAATTAGGTAAGACATTTTGGTCAGGAGCTGTTCGAACTGCCGTATATCTAATCAACCGAAGTCCGACATCAGCTTTAGGAGGAAAGATCCCTGCTGCTTTATGGTACAATAAGAAGCCTAATCTTAGTAAGTTAAGAGTTTTTGGCTGTGCAGCATATTTGCTGTTACCTAAGGAATTAATATCAAGTAAATTTGACAGCAAGTGCTTGAAGTGTTACTTTACTGGATATTGTCCTAATGGTTATAGACTGTGGTGTCCTGAAGAAGGAAAAATAATCACTGGAAGAAATGTTGTGTTTTATGAGGAAAAATTTAATTTTGAGAGCACACCAATTGAAGACTGGATTCCCGATCATGTACATGAATCCAGATCAAGTAAAAAGGAAGACAAGAACAAAGAAGAACCCAGATCATTGTCTGATGAAAATCAAAGAATTTCTATACCAGATCTTGAAGAAGAGGAAGAAGTAATTGAAGATCATGTAAGTGAAGAAGAAACAATAAGACACTCTACCAGAAAGAGGAATGTGCCAAGATACTTACAGGATTATGCAGTTCTTGCTCTGAATGCTGAATCCTTTGTCGATGATGTACCGCAAAGTTACAAGGATATTGCAGCACGTGATGATAAGGATCATTGGTATCAAGCTGTAAAGGAAGAACTTAACTCTATAAAGGAAAACAAAACTTGGACTTACACTGAACTACCACCTGGAAGGAAAGCTATCTCCAGTAAATGGGTTTTCAAATTGAAGAAAGACATGGACGGAAATATTGAAAGATACAAGGCAAGACTTGTTATCAAAGGATGTTCACCGAAGAAGGGTTTTGACTATGAAGAAACATATGCTCCAATGGTTTGTCTTGCAACAGTTAGGGTGTTGCTGGCTGTAGCAAATGAACGTGGATTAATTCTTGAACAATTAGACGTCAACAATGCTTTTCTTCATGGGGAGCTGAAGGAGGAAATATATATGTCCATTCCTGAAGGAGTTAAAGGAACACCTGGCTCCGTTTGCAAATTGCAAAAGGCACTATATGGCTTGAAACAGGCACCATTAGCATGGAATCAAGCTATTCATTCGTTTCTCATTTCTTGAGAAAGATGTTAGGATTGTTTGTTTGTTAATTGTGTCAAATGTAAAATTATTAAATTGAGGAGGGGTGTTGAGTGCAATTTAATATTTGCCACATGTCTGTTTTTAATGTTATACTTCAATGATGAATACCAGATGGTTAAATTGTTAAATGTGTTGTTAAAAACAATAATAGTCTAATCTATGTCTTCTTTAGTTGGTTCAATTAAAAGTGTTGAGTTTAATAATTCAGTTTGCCCTTTTATTTTAATGAGCTAGGTATTTTAATTTAGTGTCCATGGAAACCACATATTTACAGGCACAAAACGCGTGCATTCGTTACATTTATAGCTTAGCTTGGGATCAACATGTAACACCTTAAATACACCTATAAATATCTTGGACTTTTAAAAATAAAGGAGAGAATTAAAATAAATGTTTTAAAGCTATCTGTAAAAGTTCATAAACATAAAAAACTAGAATATTTGTATGAGACTTATTTTAGAATGAGTAATGTACATATGAGAAATACTCGCTATACTGATATAACATTAAAATTACCAATTCATAGAACCGTTATGTACAATAGATCTTTTCCCGTCACTTCAATTTCATTAATCAACTTTATGGAAAAAGAAGTACGCCAGAATAACGATGAAAGAGATGCAGTATTATTAAGAAAATATAAAATGAAACTTAGATAGATATTGATGTTGTAGGCCTATTATTTTGGTAGTTTTAAGACTTTAATTACACTTGTAATAAAAATTTTTATTCATTATGTTTAGTTTATTTTCAAACTTAAGTTTACCGAATTGTAAGTATCATGTTAACTTGTTAAAAGTTATGTTTATGCCATAAGAACATTTTTGTTTGTATAAAAGTTGAAAATGATGTTTAGTTTTTAGGAACAAGTTTTGTTAAATTGTATCTTTAGTTGAAAATTATTTTAGTTTATAAGTAGAAGTTTTGTTATATTCGATCTACTCACATAATGTATTAGGCTATTACTCACAAAATGTAAATTTGTATGTGTGTTTTTGTAGCCTGTGAGGTGGAGTGGACCTTTGGTCTAAACCTTCACAGGTAAAATAAACAAGTTATCTAGTTATCTTGAAACTTACCTTCTGATACTTCACAAATAATTCATCCATTACTTCTAAATCTGTCTTGACAGACATTTTAAGTTTTTCAAAATCCTTCTTGAGTTCATCATAAGGCCGGAATGTTTTCTTAACTTTTTGTATTTCCTGAAAATAAATACCAAACAATGGAGTTCAACAATATAGGTTTTTGCGAAATCTATAAATTACTTGAGGCATAGTTTTATTAAAAATAATTAAGTTTTCTTACTAGGCCAATATTATAGTATCAAAAATCTATGTACTGTACAATGTACATATTTCAACCTGAATTGTTATACAAGAGCTAATGAGAAAAAAAATTTAATTTTTTCATAATGAACACATTATTATTGATAGTTAAAGATTATTTTCATGCACTATCAAATTATTCTTTCTATCGCCATAAAATTCTAGAAACTGTTTTAAACTTTATTGTAACTTGTTTTAAAGTTGATTATAAGACCCACAATATTTGCTTCTGTATTATCACCTCGTTGTGAAATACAGGCATATAAACTAGTTTATGATATTTTTTTCCTGAGTTAACTTTTTGATTATTATCATAGATTTTTTATATTACACCATGAAAAGAGATAATATATTTTTAATGGCGTGAGATGGTATTTAATTTTGCTGTTTGAACCTTTACATTTTTTAAATAAGTTTTCCAATTGTTTTCCAATTCCATCAGATGGAACTCTACAGAATATTGACAACAGAACAGTATATTATGTTTTTAACGAAGAGAAACATCGACTGGCTTTAAGGAAATAAGTATTGGTCACCCAGAAACTGACTCCGTTCTTCTTCCTATAGTAGAAAAAAGGTTTGACAACATTCTGCAAGTTGGCACAAATTCAACAAGAGTTAAAAACTAAGTGTCAAATCATGGATTTGATAATCATCCTTCACTCATATTTGGGTCAAAATACGCACATAGTGGCGTCCCCATCTTAAATAATTAATTGATTGACAAGTTGGAACCAACAATAAACCATTAACTTAACTGTTATTAGCAGTTTTTAACCAACCAGCAATCTGGAAAGTTGATTTTTCTGTCACTATTTTGTTAAACAGCTGGCTACTACTATTTTTTTTTTTAACATGAAGATTTACTAGAAGGGCTTATTTAACTACAAAGAGAACTTTCTTTCTATCACTTTTACATTTATTGTTATTGTTTTGTAAGTATTGAACGTGAGTTGACCTGTTAAAAGTTTTACAAAACCACAGGATCCATCTATTCCACTATAGTATATTGAAGCGTTACTATGCACCAAATGGTTTCAGAGAAAATTCCAAAATATTGTGAATTTAAAATTCCTATATTATTCTAATGGAGAATAATTTAAATGTTGTATATTGCTTGTTTATGAACATATTTTGATCAAATTTGGAAAATGCATTTATTTCATGCTAAACTATTAACATTAAAAAAAAAAAAAACACTTCTTTACCCTCCCTGTTTTTTTTTTTTTTTTAGGGAGAGGAGGTAAAAATGCTTTTACGCACACAGGTAGCCAGCCTGCAGTGTGAGACTCCTGAGCTTGTCAGACTACTCACTAAAAAAACACAGACCTGGGATTGTTTGTTGTACTTCAGGTCAGGTCAACGTGTGACCTAAGCCCTCAGGGCTCGCGCCGTTTCTGGCATTCAATTTCTTTATGACCTAGACTGCATCTCGGTCAAGCTCTAGCTTCTTTGTGCGGAGAATATCCTGGACGAAATGTGACATACAGGTCCAATTGTCCTCACCCTCCGTCATCATCGGAATGACCGTGTCCACCAACAACTGCCCTACATATTGTTCAGCCTCCAGGCGGGAACCTTCCCAACGCTGGCAGCGGAAGAAGGTGTGCTCCGCGTCGTCGGGAGTGCCTGGGCAGTAGATGCAATCGGGTGACACGGCTTTGCCCATCCTGAACAGGTACGATCGAAAAAACCCGTGACCTGTCAGAAACTGGGTAAGGTAATAGTCCACCTCACCATACCGTCGGTCAACCCATGGTTGGACTTGCTGAATCAGTCTCCTGGTCCAGCGTCCCCGCGACTCCTGTTCCCAGCTCTCCTGCCAGAGCTGGTAGGTGCGGTTGCACTCCTCCATTTTTACATGGTCCTCTCCACGCCGCTGATAAATCGCTTTCCTCTCTGCCGCCAAAAGTTTGACGGGGATTACTCCAGCAACCACCAAGATGGCAGGTTCAGACACTGTTCGGTAGGCGGATGCTACCCTGAGTGCTGCCTGACGCTGCACTCTGGCAAGCCGCATCCTATACACCTCCTTATTGAGCGCGTCTGCCCACACCTCCACACCATACAGGAGCACAGACCGATCACCTTAGCGGCCTTGTCCGCCGTTCAGAATATCTGGTCCCGCCAGCTAAGCTTAGAGTCCACCATGACACCAAGATACTTGGCGGCACGAACGGACTGGAGTTCGACGTCCCCTCCCTCAACGGCACAATGGTGTCAATCCGCTTTTTGGTCAGAATCACGATCTCAGTTTTGTTCAGCGCGAATGAGAGACCGTGATCTGCCATCCATGCGTTTATAGTTCGCATGACTCGGTTTAATTTTAGCTGGGCCAGCTCAACACTATGAGCAGCTATTAAAGCTGCAATGTCATCTGCGTACCCAACTAAAACGGTTTCTTCAGGCATTTCAGACCTAAGGAGGCTGTCGTAGGCAACGTTCCAGAGGTCCGGGCCGGGTATGGAACCTTGGGCAGTACCAGAAGTGACACTCATCGTCCGCGGGCCTTCTGTAGTATCATACATGAGGAGGCGGAACCGGAGGTAATCCTCTATAATGCGCATGAGGTATGCCGGGACGTGGAAGTTTTTCTCCAGAGCATCCAGCATATCGCACCATCTTGCAGAATTAAATGCGTTTTGCACATCGAGGGTAACGAGCAGCACAACCCTACGAGAGTAGTGATTAAAATCCTCAGCTCTCATCACGGCTTGCTTCACCTCCTCAATATCGTCGACCGTTGATCGCCCCTTCCTGAAGCCGTATTGGCGAGGGCTCAGGTCCCCCGCAGCAACCACGGCTGAATTCAGTCGGGAACGGATCAACTTCTCTAGGACTTTCCCAGCCGTATCCAACATGCAAAGGGGTCTGTAAGAGGACGGCAATTCTGGGTCTCCTTTCCCCTTCCCTACGAGCACGAGCCTAGCTTTTTCCAGCACAACGGAAATACCCCCTCTGCCAGGCAGGCGTTGTACATGCTCAGAAGAATGAGGGGATTGATTGAAAAAACCTTCTTAAGAGCCTCGCCAGGTACCCCCATCAGGTCCAGGAGCCTTGTTGTTTTTTAGGGATAAAACGGCAGTCTCCAGCTCCTCATGAGTGAAGAGTGGGACATCGTCCATCATCTCAAACTCACGCAGTGGGCGCAGAATATGATCCGGAAAAAGGGATTTGACAACCCTCTCCATAGCGGCCCCCTCCATGACGGAAGGTGGAGAGCGAGTGGTGAGTTTTTGGGTTACTAGTTTGTAACCCAGGCACCACGGGTCGGAATCAACATCATCCCTTAGTGTTTTCCAGCAATTGTGTTTGCTCTGGTTGATGGCCCGGCTGAGAGACTTCCTCGCCACCTTATAGCTCTCCAGCTTACGGCGTCTATCCAAGGGTGCCCTGGCCCTGGTAGCGAGTCGTCTAGCTCTCAAAGCAGCTCGGCGCAAATCCGCGATCCCTGCAGTCCACCAGTATACGGGTCTCCTATCGCAACGGAGTCTCTTGCGGGGCATTGACTCATCACAAGCCGAGGCAATCAGCCCCATCATCGATGTAACTATATCCTCTGCATGAGCCATGCCAGGTGCGGCAGGCACCGCTGGCACTCCCCGCAGGATGGCCTCGGTGAATTTAGCCACGTCCAGTTTTTTGGTGTTCCACCGAACGGGCACTTCCCGAGATGCAGCAACTTGTCTCGGGAGGCGATCTAAGACATCGAAAATAATGTATTGATGGTCGCTGGCCATATAATCCTCCAAGACTCTCCAGGCTGTGATCCTTGGCAGAAGAGACTCAGATGCGAGGGTTATGTCTGGGATCGTTCCCCTCATCCAGGGTCGCCGAAACGTTGGCGTGTTGCCCTCCGGCCCTGGCAGCAAAGTCCAGGATGTACTTCCCCCGGGAATTAGTGAGGGTCAGTCCCCACTCGACGGCCCTAGCATTGAAATCACCAGCCACGACTACATGCCCTGTGGTGTCGTGCACGCTCTCTTCCAAGCGGTCTATCTTCTCGCGGAAGTCATGGATAGCCTCGTTAGGGGTGAGGTAGACACTGTAGTAGGTGACGTCCTTGCACCGAACCCAAACAAATCCACAGCCCTTTCCATGACCCCGCACTTGAACTTGAGCTGTATTACGCACCCAGAAAGCAGCAGTACCAAGACTATCGGGGAACGAAAAGGGCGGGACCCTATTCCGGTACTGGTACTGCTCGCTGACCAAGAGGGCGTCGACACCGTGTTCGAGGGCAAGCTGACTGAGAAGCGCGTCAGCTGTCCTGGATCGCCCAAGATTACATTGGAGTATTCGTATTTTCGTGGGTGGGCTTTTGCTTGCTGGAGCGCAGTTTCCTTACAAAGAAAGCAAGATTCGACTTGGCAGTCCCTACGAGCGTGACCCACCCCTCCGCACCGGAGGCAGTGCTTGCCTCGGTCGGGCCCCTTGCAATTTCGGGAAGAATGACCGAAACCGAGGCACCTAAAACACATGGTTACTTCCACCGTCCGTCTGAGCCTGCAGTTGACCCAACCGACCCTCATATGCTGGAGTGCCAACACCTTACTAGCGTGTGCGTCTGCCATTTCGGCGACCGCCATCCGCTGCTGGTTTCTATTTGGTTTTGTGAGCCACACCCTAAGAACAGCCGATGTTCCGGGAAGCTCGGGGACTGCTTCCTTTAGGGCCTCAACCACCTCACTCTCTGTCGACACACCATCTATGTCCCGAACCTCAACTGACGTTTTAGGCTCGAGTGCATGGACGGTGCCCTGGCCTTCCACGGCTGCCTTTAGTTCAGCAGCAAAAGCGGATTTGTCCTTTGACTTACCCAGTTCAAGGAGGACGTCCCCGCCCCGGGTTTGCCTAATCGACCGCACAACCATATC